CTCTCTCTCTCTCTCTCTCTCTCTCTCTCTCTCTCTCTCTCTCTCTCTCTCTCTGAGAGCAGCTTGCAATCTTCTGCTGCACGCAGTTTTGCCTGGCCTCTTCCCCCTGGGTCCTCAGTTGGGTTTGTGGAGGACCTCTGTCCCTCTGTGGGTCCCTCTGTGTCCTTAGGGCTTTCCTGTGCCTACAGGGGGGAGTTTGTGCTCTTTTTCACACCAGTCCAGTACAAGGCACGGGAATCAGTACCAAGAATGGAATGTCAACTGGACGGCACACAACCCAACACACACAAAGAAAACACAAGTGTAGTTTAAGCTGCCTTCTCTTTTGTACCTGGAGTGGAACTCGGGACCTTGTGCTTCCCAGGCAGGTGCTGCGCCGCTGAGCTATATCCCCAGCTAAACCTGCTTCTTGAATTACCACTGGCTTTAGGGTAATTCTTTAGTTCTTGGTTCTTTAAATGTTCTTGTTTTATGAGAGAACAAACCCAGGGTTGTTTCATTTAAAAGATGTTCCTCTGGCCCAGGCGGAGGGGATACCAGTTAGAAAAGCCACTGCCTTGCTCTGCAGTCTGAGGTGGGGAGCTGGCGCTTCAGTTTGTTATGTTTCCTGGGCGGGAGTGGGGGTGGGGGTGGCGGTCCTCTGCCTCCGTGGCCTGGTCTGAGCCACTGCGACTCTTTTCTGCTTCTCCTCTTGTGCTCCAGGAGATTTCTCAGCTGGGCAGAGGCCCTGGTGCCCAGCGAGGTGAAACTGCAAAGGATACGGCCACCATCCTCAGTGGAGGACACTCACCAAAAGTCACCAGAGGCAGCCCTCCAGGTCTGGGGACAGGGACAGCCAGCTACCTGAAGATAGCAAAGGGGAGGGGTGGTCGCCTCTGCCGGGGCTTCGCTAATGCTTTTCCCGCAGCCGGGCCCAGATTAGTGTCCAGACCCTGGCTGCACGAGGGGGTTCTCATCTGGGGAGCCACAGGAGTAACCCACAGGCGTGTCCAGCAGGCCGCAAGGATGCGCCTGGACACCCTGGAAACCTCGATTTAGCAGTCCTCAGGGCAGCCAGCAGGGGGCGCCGCGGGGGCTCCCGCTCCTCCTGGTGCATAGAGGTCCCAGGCTTCTCTGAACACATTCTCCAAACACCCGGTTACCAGAGAGGTCGTGCCTGTGTCAGGAGTGTTTTCAGTGCTCACCTCGGGCCAGTGTGAGATAGATTGCGCAGAGGTGGATTCCCCTGAGCTGTATGTGTGCGTGCGTGCGTCTGTGTCCACGGCCTGAGCCTGTGAGTCATCAGCGGTGGGTGCACACTCCGAGCCATTCCTTTACCTGTCTGTATTTATGAATGCCAAGGAGTTCAAAAGGGCGCACCGGTGTGTAAGAATCCACACCCAAGTCTGAGAGGACCCCGCCGCACGCTCACCCGCCAGCTGCCTGCAGTCCCAGCCTTCAGCGCAATCCCAGCACCTGGCTGGCCCGCCCCTTGTGGGCCGTGCAGGACTCGCTTTCGCGGCCCAGGCTGGGCTCACTGGCCGCAAGAGAGCCGGGGGCGGGCCGTTCACCTGCGGGCTGCAGGCCATCCTCGCCCGCCTGTTTTTGTCTCATCCCTTTCGCCTACGGGGAGCCCACTCAGTGTTCCGCACGCCCTTGCGTCCCTGCTTTTCTGCTCTCAGCAACCTGACCCAAGATAGCACTTTTCATCTGGGCTCTGTGTGTGTGTGTGTGTGTGTGTGTGTGTGTGTAAGAAACCCGGGAGGATTTGGGACAGACTTGGACCCTCTTCCCAAAGAGCGCTGACTCTATAATGTCAAGATCAGATCATCTCAAAAAAAAAAAATAAATAAATAAAAAAATAAAAATCAAATCATCTCTGATAGAGCAGGTGAGACCTGCTTCAAAAGTTAAAAATGAAAAGATACTTTGGAAGCAAACGGATGTCTTTTATTAAATCAGAAAGAGAAAGGTACAGTGTACATAACTCAGTCACATGCGACTTTGGATTAACCTGTCATAGACTCCTCGTCTTATTCAGTCCTCTGTACAAAGGTTTGTTTTTAAAAAAGAGAACTCAGGTATTTGAATCATATTCTGTCAACTTTTATTAACTGGGGTTATAAGGAGCGTTGTAGCAGAGCACACCCTGAGCGCATTAGGAAATTACAGACAGACTTGAGATAAGCGTCAGACAGAACAGATGCAGCGAGCCCCTCCGCCATCTGAGAGACATTAATAATGTAAGATCACAGACGCCCAATCATTGTTAGGGGGTACAGAATGCGGGCTAGAAACGGGGACCTTGGCGCCCCCTTGTGTTGCAAAATAAACTTGCAACCTATTTTATGTTTATTTTCATTTTAATAGTAATCCTTGCCCTTGTCCAAGAGACTAGAAGGAATCGCTTCTCCCAAATCCTTTCAGACCCTCTCCACTCGATCGTTCCTCTCTCATCAGTAATCTTCAACGACCCTACCTGAAGACCAACTCGTTCATTCCTTTTTCTTGCCTCACTCATTCCTTTCTAGAAAGTTGGCAAACGCCCAACGCCGAGCCTGGCTTCTCCCTCTTCGCAGCGTACATTGAAACCGTTTTTGCTCCCTTCCTCGCATGTAGACGATGCGCACACGTTTGCTACCAAGCTTAACTTCTGCTCGCAGATAGTTTTCTCTCGATCTCCACCATTTATTACAACGTAGCCCACACCGTTCCTCCACTTCCTCTCTGCCCTGCTTGGCCAACATCAATACCTCCCGCTCACCACCTAACTTGCTAACCCATCTTTACGGTGATTTGCCAGGAAAGACTGGACTAGAGATATAAATAGTACACCCCAATATACAACAAACAGCTCGGGCTTAATTGGTAGGCAGAATTTCATTTGATGGGCATGAGAAGAAAAAATATATACAGAGCGCGTGTTTGGGAGGGGACATCTCTGTGGTAGAACCTGGTGGGCCCGCGTGGCTTGTTTACTTGGATTTGCCGGGGGGCCCGATGGAGACGGGGTCTGTTTGCACCTGCGCATCCGACATCCGCTTGGGTCCCTGGAGAAAAAGACATAAAGCAGTTGTAGCCTACCTAGGATGTCTTGTCGCCAGCCCCCAGTGTCACTGATGTAGCGCTGGTTCTGGGCTAGGTGTTGTGTTATGTACACAGCTTTTATGGAAGAGCGATGGGGAAGAGAGGGGTCGACCGTGCGACACACACCCTGTTCAATGCCCAGCTCTGTTTCTATCGACCGTGGGACATCCACCCTGTTCAACGCCCAGCTCTGTTTCTATCGACCGTGGGACATCCACCCTGTTCAACGCC